CCCCCCCCCGTTTTTATTTTTTTTGTTTTTTTTTCAATGCGGGGGCATGGGGCCTGGGGTGCGCCCCCGGAATCCCGACGCCGACCTCCAGTACCCCCTCCCCCATGCCCGCAGCGAACCTTTTTCAACCGTGGCCGCGACGGTCATGACCGCGGGCTCGCGGTCGACCGCATGGGCCGCAGTTATGCCCGCGGCGACCGCGGTCTGCGGGGATACATAGCCTGCGGGTCTTCCCACCAACCTGTCAGAGATTGCAACTTCCCTTTGTCCAATTTTGACTCTTGGATACACAGCCCATCCAGCTTTTCCGCAAACAGCCACGACTTAATCCTTCTCCTTTTTCCCCTGTCTGTTGTATCCCCGATTCCTCGTTCGTTCCATGTTGCCAGTTTGATTCTAACCATGGGGGTGGGTTTAGCCCGCTTGATCTTGGATGCGGTGGTGTTATGTCAACGGGGTATCACCCCAGCGTTATCCTTTAGTGGGGGTCCGAAGCATTGGACTCTCTCTTGAGGCGTTCCCGGAGGCTAACGATCTCGACGATCCTCTCCAAGGTGTTGTGAGGGCTTCTCTCATAAATACGGAATGCAGATTCTCTGCGTCGGCCATCTTCTTATTCGCTCGCACTAGAACCAGTGCCGATATCTCCTGCGTAATAGCAATTGTTTCCAACTCATGTGCGTTGTGTTCTCTAACTGCATCGAGATGGAACCAACGCACTCCAGTCAGCGCCAGAGTATCCGTCGTGACTGCATCAATTCGTGCGTAGATCAGGGGGAAGTAGAATTTAAAATTTTTCCTCTGCAGTGGGACCACTATGCTTGTCATAGTAGATCTCGGTATTAGTCTAACGGGAAATGCTTCTCCGTAGAGAGGTTTCGTTCGCGCAATGATTTCTACCGGAGTAGGGGTCCTACCTGTCTCTTCTGACGGGATATATGGGATCCCATTCTCATCCGTTTTTCCTAAAAAGAAAAAAACAGAGCTTGTAACTGTGCGGACTAGTGGGACCATTTGTCTTTCGACCCTATCTCTGTCCTAGTGCCTAATCCCGGTCGCTTCTCCTGTAGGATTTCCTCGGTGCTCACGTTTTCTCTGTGTGTCCGATGGTGGTGTCCGTCCCCTCAATGGGGTGCCTGAACTACCAGTGGAAGATACCGACCTTTCCGGATCTAAGTACCCATCTGGTGGTTCTGAGCACTCATCACCCACCAAATCACTACCCATTACTATCCTTGAGTTTGAAGATAACGATATTGTCTGTCTTTCCTCTCCTTGTGCTTTTGAGGTGCGTCTCCTCGTGCTCCAAGTGCCTTCATTCTCCCCCCGCCTACCTTTCTGAGTCATTTGTCTCTGGGTGTCGCCCCTATGGTCCTGGTCTGGAGGCGCCTCTCTAAGCTATCTTACTCTCTGTGTTCCCCGAGTACGTTCATCTCTTCCCCAGTCGTTCTGCCAATAGGAATCCGCTCCCTCCGGTTGTTGGTCCGGTTCTACGTGCGCTGCCTGTAACCTTCCGTACCTATCTGGTTGAGCCCTGCGACTAAACTCTAGGACTCCGGGAGGGCAGGTGTGAGTTGGCAAATGGGGTATGTACTGGGGTGTGATTTGAGGTAGGAAGGGTTGTGCTTGATGTGTTTGGGGGATCAAAGGCGGTGCCTGTCAGTGGCAGTGGTGAGCCCATGATGATGTGAGAGGGGGGGGATAGTGGTGGCCCGGATACAGAGGTTGTAGACAGACTGCACGAGGCTCCACGGGGGCGAGCTGATTTTGACCCTGAGGGCAGGTTGACGCTTGCATCTGTCGTAGGAAGAAAGTTTGATGGGCCGCCGCTTCCATCTGTTGATCCCTCCCATAGAGAGTGGTGTTTGGGATTCCCGACTGCATCTGATACCGCTCCTGGCCTTGTGAACTTTGGAGGTCATGCTGGCTTTGTAGTGTTGGCTGGGCGATTGCGCCTCTCTGTTGTGTCTCCATTGCCGCCCGAGGCTCTCCTTGTGTTGCAGGTTGTCTTACCTCCTGTTCAGAGGCATGGATGTTCGGATCCGCTGCTGGCGCCACTGGCGCTTCCCTGTTGATTGTCGGCATGTTCTGTTGTGGCAGACGAAAGTTTGCCCATTGTCTTCTCGGGCGGTCTTCATGAGCTGTCCTCGGGCACTCCTCCTCTTTGTGGAAGTACCAGCGGCACTTCTTGCACCAATCTCTGAACGGGGTGGCTATCTGCACCTTCCAAATTTTCCCTTTCGGGGATTCTACCGCGATCGTATCTTCTACTCGGTATCTCACCGACGGCTCCATGTCGAACTTTATGTTCATGAGTTTCGGTCGTGTCCGATCTGCTTCCGGAGGATGCATGTTCTTCACTCCTCCAATTAGCCCTTCTACTGCTGACGGTAGGTAGTAGAACACGTCCAGTGGTACTCTCAGCACTACCACCCAGAAGTTGGTCTCTGCATCTTTTAGTTTGAGCTCCTTCAGTTCCAATTTGGTCATCCATGCTTTAAATAACACTGGATATTCCACGCCTTTCAGACTTAGATTAGTTGAGGCCTTGCTCACTAACCAGGCCGCCACCTCTGCTGCTTTGGCCACGTAGGAGACTACATTTGGAGCTTCAAACTTGATTTTTTCCCTCCTCATCTCTGGGTTGAATAACCATCGCGCGAACCAGCCATCCTCAAACGCCCTAATCAAATCTTCCTTGATCCCTCTCGACAGATTCCGAGCTTCGTCTTGGAAGATGATAATCACTGTTCGCTCCTTCAACCATCTCTCCTTTATCACATCTAACGATTCATTTACTTTGAACCGTTTTCCCCTTTCATCGATCACCACATCTCCAAA